CTAAGAATTGATCTACTATATGATCCAGCAATCCTCTACTTGGTATTTATCTGAAAGACTTGAAAACCCGTATCTGAAAAGATATTTGCACACCGATGTTCATAGCAGCATTATGCACAGTGGCCAGGACATGGAAGCAACCGAAGTGTCCTATGATAGATGATTGGGTAAAGAAGTTGTGGTACATAAATACAATGGAATATTACTCAGCCATAAGAAGAGATGGAATACTGCTATTTGCGACAACATGGATGGACCTCGAGATAATCATGCTAAGCGAAATTGTATTAACCAATGTTACCCTGATAAACGTAATAAAAAAAAAGTGGGACATTATGGAACTGCTGGTAGGGAACTTTGTTGCCTTATTCCCTAAAAGGTCAGATTTTCAGCAGCTAAAGTCATCCATTCCAAAGTGAATGTGATAAAGAAGTGAATTGAGATAATATACTTTGGCTGTTTGAACAGTAGCATTTCACAGGAAGAGAGAAAAAGATCAACCTTATATTTTCTGACCACATTATGGCTGCTTCTTTTTGTAATAAAGCAGAAAAGCTCTTTCCCAAAAATAATATACGAATGGCTAATAAGTACATGAAGAAAAGATGTTCAACATTATTAGCCATCGAGCAAATAAAAATCAAAACCACAATGATATATACTTCATACCCATGAGGATGGCTATAATCAACATGTGAAGACATAGAGAAAATGGAATCCTCATACATGGCTTGTAAAATGTGGTATATTTATACCATATTATTTGGCCATAACAAGTAACAATATATACTGATACATATTAAAACATGGATGAATCTTGAAAACATTATGCTGAGCAAAGAAAGTTAGACTCAAAAGGCCACATATTGTATGATTCTATTTATATGAGAGGTCCTTAACAGGCAAATCTATAGAGAGAGAAGGTAGATTTACTGGCTGTTATGGATTGACTTGTGTCCTCCCAAAATTCATATATTGAAGTCTTAACTCCCAGGATGACTATATTTGGAGATGGGGCTTATCTATAAGAAGTTATTGAAGGTTAAGTGAGGTCACAAGGGTGGGGACCTAATCTGATAGGGTTGCTGTACTTATAAGAGGAAGAAGAAAAAAAGTAGAAGAGACACCAGATATCCTTTTTCATGCACACAGAGGAAAGACCATGTGAGGATACAGAGAAGGGAGCCATTTACAAGCCAGGAAGAAAGGCTTCACTGGACACCACCCCTGACAGCAACTTGATCTTGGAGTTCTTGCCTTCAAACTGGAATTACATAATGGTGATAGTTTCATAACTCCGAATATATTAAAAAGCAGCATGCAGTTTAAAAGAGTGAATTTTATGGTATGTGAATTCTTTCTCAATAAGAAACATCAATTATATCTCAATTTTAAAAAATCTAAAAAAAAAAAAAAAAGCAAGCTGCACATTTATAAAAGCCCATGGTGATCATGGACAAACTTGGAACTTGACCTGAGGAACTTAGTGAAATCCTCTTACCTCCTACTTTCCTATTTTGATTTACAATGTCATTCATTAGTTGTAATGCATGTCCACTTACAGTAAACTCTATCAATTAAGTGACTGAGAAAGTGAAAAAACCTTTTCACTTTCAGTATAGGAAAGGTAAGTGTTTAAAATGGGAGGTTCGGCCCTTATTGGCTCTTGTTTTTATGCCCTTCCTATCCTCATCTTTGCTTTTCTTACCATAATATTTTTTTGCTTCTTCATTAATTTTCTTTCCCAACACCCACCCATTTTCCTCTTTGCTTCCTTTGTCTTATTCTCTTTACAACAATAAATGTGTATTGAAAATGTACTATTTTGACAGTAGGGGTTCTGCTGTGAGGTAGCTTATAGTCATGGCTTGTCTTTCTTTTCTCTTCTACTGCTCCCTATGTGGCCTCCTCCACTGACACCACAGGGAGGGAGTGTACTCATTACCACTGGACAGTGGTGAAAGTCCTGACTTTCTACTAAGTTTTCTCTGATATCACCTTAGATGGGATGGGGACGGATGCATCATTACTGCCAGGTTGAGGTGGAAGTCTAGGCTATCCACTGTTACTGCTATGATATATAAAAATACCGAAAGCAAGGATATGAAAATGCCTGACTCTTGTGTTCATTCATGATGCTGTTCTGATTTTTAGGAAGCAGGAGATGGTGTTGATGATGATGAGCTCGTAAGACTCAGGATATGCGCTGGGCAAGAGTATGGAGTTTTCCTTAACAGAGCATGGACAGTCTCTGTGGGTGGGATGGCCTGGGCTTGGGTTTCTAGAAGTGAATCAACAAGCATTTCTGGAGCATGACTAGGTCTTAAGAACCTGGTGCTAGGAACAGAGAATTCAACGATGTGACCTCTGTCTTTTAAGAACCTAGTATGTACTAGAAATAAATAGATGCACAATTTCTCATAGTAACTAGCAGGTCCCATCAGCCTCTTTATCTGTTGTTATCCCTTCCCTCCTGTCCTTCACTCAGTCACTCAGTTAGTCATTCGCTCGCTCGCTCATATGTACACTAAAACTTATACCAAGCATTTTATTTCATGCCAGTTTTTGTGTAAAGCACTGGGAACACAAAGACCAGTAAGGAAAAATGGCTTCCAAAACCAGTCATTACTTCTGAGGAGCTGAACTCACTACTTCCTCTGGCAGGAAAATCCTCTTCCCTTTTCACAAAACCAAAGTCTTATCTTAAACTTTCTTCTCAAGTCTTTGCAAATGAAGGCTATGTGCTTATAACCAACTCAATTATTCCAGTTATCCCCTTTCATTTATGTTTATGCATTTTAAAACTCTAAATATTTAGCCCTCTATTTACAGATTCTATCACTATAAGGCCCCTATTATAATGAAGCAACTTCTCATGGGGTTATGTATTACTAGGGTCATTATGGGATTATGTTTCTCTCCAAAGACTAATAAATGCTACTGATTGTTGAGTCAGACTTGGAAACCGTGGTCTCCAAAATCTTATAATTTCATACTGGACTTCAAATAGCACATATATCCCTAAATAAATGAGCTTAATTTTAACTACTGACCTATCCTAGTCTGGCATAATCTTCCACTGGTCTGAGTGAACTAGTGAACATGGTATATGGCTTTGTATTAGAAATGTATAATTAGCCACTCAAAGTCTCTCTCTAAGCAGCATATAGGTAACCATTAGAACATTCATTCTTTAAGTCAAAGGTACAAACATACAAATACCTGACGGAAGGCTGTGGAACACTGTCTGGACTGGCTGGTACCTGGACTCCCTTTTCCCATTCTTCTTTCCATGTATCCGTAAAGAGGTAATAGCTGTCAGGATTAATGTGTTGAGAATCTGACAGTTTCATGGCACTGATGAGGTCCTTCCGGAATACCTGGGAAGACATTGCACACACCTTGAGAAGATCATCACTAAGGAACTAACATCATTTAATGTTCTTTTAAAAATACCATCCCCACTCTCTCTATATTTTGATAAGAGAAACATCTCTAACTTCCTAAATGGCTAACTTCTATTTGGAAAAGGACTGAAGTGTTGACAGGGAAGCCAGCTTGTTCTCAATCTAATAAATAGTAAAGGAGTCCTTCTTGAATTATTTCCTTGGGATCCTTGAATTTAAATTAATAATACAGGTAACTTCAAAACAGTTTGCATAAAACAAACAATCCTTTTTATTTTAAGAGAATTTTTGTAAGAGTTTATTGGAACCGAACAGAAGACATATGCTGGGGAGCAAGCTCTCAAGTGTTCTCAAAACAAACAATCCTTAACTCTCTTAAATTAAGCAAAAAGTATCCTCTGATAACATAATTGATTATTTAGCCATCGCCTTATTTTTTAATTATTTACTTAGAAATAATTTTAGACTTAGATAAGTTAAAAAAAAATAAATGAATGAGACTATATCAAACTAAAAATCTTCTGAACAGCAAAAGAAACCTTCAACAATTCGAAGAGGCAACCAACCGAGTGGGAGAAGACATTTGTAAATATCTCCGATGGGGGCAAATATCCAAAATATATAAAAAAACTCATACAACTCAATAAAAAAACCAAACAATTCAATTAAACAATGGACAGAAGAACTGAATAGGTACTTCTCCCAAGAAGACATACAAATGGCCAACAGACATATGAAAATATGCTCAACTTTAGTAGCTATTAGGGAAATGCAAATCAAAACCACAATGAGATACCTCCTCACACCTTTTAGAATGGCTACTATCAATAAGACAAGTAATAACAAGTGTTGGTGAGGATGCGGAGATAAAAGAACACTCATACACAGCTGGTGGGACTGAAAATTTGTACAGCCACTATGGACAACAGTACAGTGGTTCCTTAAAAAATTAATTGTAGAATTACCATATGACCCAGCACTCCCTCTTCTGGGTATCTACTCAAAAAATTTTAAAACATTTATCGGCAAAGATACATGTACCCCTATGTTCATTGTAGATTTATTCACAGTGGCCAAGACATGGAAACAACCGAAGTTTCCTTCAATACAAGGGTAGATAAAGAAGCTGTGGTATATATATACAATGGAATATTATTCAGCCATAAGAAAAGATGAATACTGCCATTTGTGACAACGTGAATGGATCCTGAAATTATCATGCTAAATGAGATAAAGTCAGAAAAAGTTGAGAATCATATGATTTCATGCATATGTGGGATATAAAACTAAAAGCAACAAATGAACAAGAGAACCAAAAACCATAGACACAGACACCAGTTTAGTGGGTACCAGAGGGAAAGGAGGGAGGGAGGAGGTAAATAAGGGTAAAGGGGGTCACATATATGGTGGCGGAAGGAGATCTGACTTTGGGTGGTGAACACATAATGCGATATACAGATGATGTATTATTGAATTGTACATTTGAAACCTATATAATTTTATTAACCAATGTCACTCTAATTTAATAAAAATAAAATAAAAAATAAATTGGATGTCCTGATGTAAAAAAAAGAGTACAATGCTCCCATATACGCTTCACAGTTTCCTCTAATGTTAACATCGTACATAACCAGAGAACAATTGCCTAAACGAGAAAATTAACACTGCTACAATACTATTAATCTACAGAATTCATTCAAATTTTACTAATTTTCCCTCTACTGTCCTTCTGTTCCAGAATTCAACTCAGGATCTCACATTGCAATTAGTTGTCTCTCCTTAGTATCTCCAATTGGTGACAGTTTTTCAGTATTTCCTTTGTCTTTCAAGAACTTGAAACTTTTGAAGAGTACTAGTCATATATTTGATAAAATGTCCCTACAATTTGGGTTTGTGTGATGTTTTCTCATGATTAGATTGAGATTATTCATTTTTTTTGATGGTGTACCCTTCTCATTCCATTATATAAGGGATATATTATGCCAATGTCTTATTAGCAGTGATGTTAAACTTGATCGCTTGGTTAAGGTAATGTCTTGCTGGTTTTCTTCACTGTCAGGTTACTATATTTCTCTTTGTAATTAATATCCTATTAGAGGAAATACTTTTGTGATAATAAAAACATCCTGTTTCTTTTCAAACTGTCATGGACTAGTCTTATTATCCACTGGTAGATATCTTGCCTGCAATGAATTATTACTGTAGTGTTCTAATGGTGATTTTCTATTTCCCTTAGTCTTACATTTATTAATTCGAATTTCTCTGTAAGAAAGATCTGTCCTTTCTCCCCCATTTATTTATATCATTATTGACTCCTGGATACTTATTTTATTCTTTGGGTTATAATTCAGTGTTGTTAACTTATTCTGTTGCTGAAATTGTTCCACCTTTGGTCTTTGGGAATACTTTCAGGTTGACTGGTGCTCGTGCTCTTTCAAAACATCCCATACTTTTTGGAGTACTGCCTTAATTTCCTATATTACAACAAGTCCCAGGCATGTTTATATCCTCTAACTGGTTATAAAAGCTACTGACTTCATATGTTAACTTCATATCCTGCTTACTTTATTGAATTCTTTTATTGCGTTAGTTTTATCACTGATTTTTCTTATGGTTTTCCAGATATGCTATCGAATCATCTGTAAACAGAGAAGGGTATCTTCTTTACATGGTCTTATGTCTCTAATTAGTTTCTCCTGTTTAATTGTACTGGCTAATACCTATACCAGTATTTGGAATAGTAACAGAGATAGTGGGCATATCTGTCTTCTCCGTATTGAATTTTGTTGAAGTCTTCTTCAGTGTATATGGAAATAATTCTATAATTTTTCCTTAGATATATATTAATATGCTGTATGATAATACTGGATTTCATAATACTGAAACAAATTTGCATTTCTAGAATGAACATCATTTGGTTGTGATATACTATTTTCTTGATATGGTACTGTATTGTTTTCTAATATTTCGTTTAATGTTTTTGTATCATTCCCACGAGTGATATTTATGTTTCCTTTTTTTTTTTTGGTATTGTCTTTAAGGTTTAGGTTATCAGTGTTATGCATGTTTCTAAAAATATTAGAATATTTTCCTTCTGCTACAATGTTCTAGAATTTGAGAATTAATGGGACTATCTGTTCCCTATGAAACCACCTGGATTTGGTGTTTTTTTGTGGGGTAGTTCCTTAATAATTTTCTCTATTTCTTTTTGGAAATTTATCTCTTAAGTTTTCTATCTCTAGTGGAGTCAATATTGGTAATCTGTATTTCCACAGGAAGTTATCTATCTTACCCAGGTTTTCAAATTTATGTGTACAGGGGCTTGTAAAGCATACAGGCAGTTCCACTTTGCACAGCAATATGGGACTGTAAAAATGATGATGTGAGTAGTAACTGTGAAAAGATCTTAATGTTAATGGGAAAATTATGATTTTTCTGTATCTTCGATTTGGTCAAAATATTAGTAAGTCTCTTACTGTTGACTATAAATACATAGAGAAATGAAAAAATAAGACTACTCCAATATTTTTAGTATACTGTAATTAAACATTAGAAACATTGAGAAACAAATTATTTTTTGTAGAAAAGCTTATCAGGAGGTTGAACAATACTTGCCTCCTGTTTCTCATCATGCAACTTAAGATATGGAGAAAGCATTTCAGATAGAATGTTCTTTATCATTATTTTTATAAAACCTATAATTTCAGTTTGTATTTCCTCTTTTTATCCAAGAGTTATTTAATAGGATTTAAAATTTCCATAGGAAAGGACCTTTCGGACCTTTCTGTTTTTGTTAGTAATTTCTGATTTTACTGCATTGTGATCAGAGTGTTGTTTATAATATTTCTACTTAGTGGAAATTATTGATGTTTCCTTTGTGACTCAATATGTTTGATCATATTTTGTGTATGTACCATAGATATTTGAGAAGGTGTATTCTATTATCTCTAGTACCGAGGTATAGAATTTGATATATATATTTGAGAAGTACTTTACTGCTTATGGTGTTTAGAGCTTCTCCTATTTTTTTGTTCATTTAATCTGTCTGATACTGAGAGGTGTTTGAAAGTCTCCTATGATTAGTGATTCTATTTATGTCTCCTTGCATCTCCTATAGTTTTTGCTCCATAAAGGTGGTTGCTGTGTTATTCAGTGTACAACTATTCACAGGTATTGTATCTTCATGGTGACTTGTAGCTTTTAACTTTAAAGTGACCTTCTTTGTTTTGGGGGGTCTGATTGCTATTTTGTCTGATACCAAGATTGCTATTCCTGCTTTTTTTGTTTCCATCTTCTTGATATTCCTTTGTCCACCTCTTTATTTTTATCATTTTTGAATAGCTGTTTTAGGTATGTTCTTATATACAGCATACAGTTGGGTCTTGTTTTACGAGCCAAAAAATATTTTTCTTTAACAGGTGTTAAAGCCCATTCATATTTATTAGTATGACTCATATACTGGTCTCAACTCTCACATTTTGTAATTGTGTGTATTATATTTCCTATGCTTTCTTTCTCTACCAGATGCATGTTCTTTGCTCTTTCAATTGTAATTTTTTATAGTTAAGAAGGTTTGCAGTTTTATTCTAGTTATCTTTGTACTTAGATCTTTTAAAAATGTCCTTAGTCTTTTCTTTTTTAACCTTTTACTATCTAGTTTATTCATTTTTATCACTTTCAGTGAACTCTTCATGTCTGAGGAAGACAGGACTGATATGTCTACTGTGGCAGCCAAGAGGCTCCCAGTGTGAGCCTTAACCTTACTCCCTAGCAAGGGATCCCAAGCTGTGTGGAAAGGTCAAAGGGCAGAGGTAGGGGATGATAATATGGGTATAATTATAACTTGGACTTGTGGAAACAAAGTGATTCTCCAAAGTTCATTTTCCGCACTCTAAGCACAATTAGGTACTGACAATATGGGAACGGAGATGGATCTAAAGTTTGATGTACTATTATCTTCTGGTTGAAAGGGC